GAAAAAATTCATCAAGAAAAAAAAATATTTATTTAAAGGAAAATTTTGCAGTTTTTAAAAAGGAAAAAAAAAAAACAAAACAAATCAAAAAGCAAGAGAAATTATTATTATTATTTATTATTTAATCATTATCAAAAAAAAAAATAGCGTGTTTTTATACTGCTGTGAAAAATATATTATTATTATTAATTTCATATGATGATATGATTGCCATAAGCTCGTGGAAATGTATGTATATATTTTATATTAAACGACTAGAAAATTCTCTAAAAAAAATTTTCAATTTGTTGTTTGTTTTCAAAGGCGATAAGAATAATGAAAAATCAATATTCGATTTGAAATGGATGATGTTTGTGTTCCTTGGCGCTGAAAATAATAAATAAAAATAATAAATTTTTTTTTTTTTTTTAGTTGTCCTGATAACAACACGTTTATATATATTAAAAAAAAAAAAATTTAAGGATTGTAAATGATGAATGTTATGTATTTGTCGTTAATCTTACAGGTGGAAACGGAATCCGGTAAAGGAAAAACAAAGAAAAAACTATAATTAAAATTTGGTTATTAAAAAAATAATCTGAACTTACTCTCTGAACCGACAGAAACGAAAATTTTTATTTAATCCATCGATTTCTTCCATATCTTTATCGGTAAGTTTAAAATCAAAAATATTTATATTTTCTTTCAATCTGTTTGGATTTGTTGATTTCGGAATCGGAATCGTGTCCAGTTGAATCTAAATATAATAATGATGATAAATATTTCAGAAAAAGAAAATTTTCTCTTCCATAAATATTTTATAAAATGCATACCAAATATCTGAGAATGACCTGAGCGACAGATTTCCCCGTTCTTGCAGCTATTTCGTTCAATTTTGGATCTTGTAATAATTTTGGTTCTTCGGGTGTTGCCCAGGGTCTACCAGCCGAACCCAAAGGACTGTATGATGTTATTAAAATGTCGTGATTCTTGCAGAATTCTCTGAGTTTTTTTTGATTCAAATAAGGATGACATTCGATTTGATTCATGGCGGGTTTTATTTTACAATCTTTTAATATTCTATTCACTTGTTGAGAATTGAAATTAGCCAAACCGATCGATTTGACCAAACCCATTTCTACGCATTTTTCCATTTGTTTCCACGTGTCGACATAATCGTAATCCGACATTAAAAGTTTTCCATTTTCATCACGTGGAAAAAATTCCGGATGTTCCTTTTGAATTTAAAAAAAAAAAAAAAAAAAAATGAAATAATTTTCCAGCGTTTTAAATTTTTTAATATTGTTTTCTTATTCGTGTACCTTAAAGGCAAAAGGCCAATGAATCAGGTATAAATCGAGATAATCTAATCCGAAGCTTTCCAGTGTTTTTTTGCAACCTGCCACCACTTGATTTTCTCCGTGAAACGTATTCCACAGCTGTAACAAATTACATATATACCTAAAATTACGGCTTTAAGCATTTTTTTTTTTTGTCGACAGGTTTCTTTTTTCTTCTATACCTTGCTCACTATAAAAAGATCTTCTCGTTTGACGACGCCTTCATTAATTTTTTCCAATATTGCGGATCCTACTTCGGCTTCGTTTCTATAAACCATTGCACAATCAAAATGTCTGTAACCGATATCGATTGCTGATTTCACCGCTTTTCCAACTTCGCCGGGATCGGCCTAAAAAAAAAAAAATAATTGTCTATAATTTGCCATGAATTTTTTATTAAATCCATAAATAAATTATTAATGTAAGTTGTTGGAGAGGGTTATAAGTACTCCACATAATATACTTCTTTTATTTTTAAGGTTGTGCCTGTTGAAGACCGTACAAGATTTTGCACAAGCATTCCATAGGAAACTTTATTTAATAAATTTAAAAGCCGCATTATGAGTCACGCATTACATCCAACGAATAATATTATTATTATTAAAACTACAAAATATCGTTTGAAATAACATTAAAAAAAAAAAAAAATTATTATCTTCACGTACCTGCCACGTTCCGAGACCGAAAGCTGGAACGTAGTGACCATCATTCATTTTAATTTTGGGAACGTTCATTTTTTTTCTTCCCTATGAAAAATTATCTTCAAAAACTGAAAATTAAATTAGAAAATTATTAATTAAAAATGAAAAAGTAAGTTGTTTTCAAGTCAACAACTCAACACAAACTGTTTGATATAAAAAAGTGGGGAAATAAATAATTGATAGAAGAAGAAGACTGTGTACGGTTTACAACATTGGTTAACAGGTGGCTTCTTTTAACAAAATATATTAAATGCGGGAATTTTTTTTTTGTAGGCTCGATAACATTTTCGGTTCCGCCATAATGTTTTAAATCAAATTTTAATTTTATTTTCTACTAAACTAATTCACATAATATGTTTTCAGTAAAATCTCAGTGTCGTCGTGGGTTGTGCCAATGAAAATATAAATAAATACGATATAATTCATCTTTTGAAATGATAATCGCACAAAAATCGAGAGGGGGAGAGAGAGAGAGAGAGAAAGAAAAGGAGAAAGTAATTTAATTTATAATATTTCAAACATGGAAAATTATCACTTATGATCGTTGTGAGTAAAATTTTTAATATCATTTCACATTAATGTAAACACAAAAATTCGGTTAAGAGTTAATTAAGTAAAAATAATTTTTATTTTATATATCTAAACATAAACATAAATAATTTATTTATTATGTGTATCAAATATTGTCGCACCATGCGATGCAAAAACAAACACAATTTTATGTTTTTTTTTTTTTTGAAGGGCAAACAAATTAGTTAATTTTTATCATATGTTTACCCTAATTGATACAATTTAAACACACAACCGAACCGCGTTTGTTTTTGTTTTTATTACTAATTACTCTTAACCGAATTTTAATATTTTGATAAAAAAAATAATTTTGATTATATTTAAAAAAGAAAAAAATTATATTTTAAATTGTAAATTGGGATATGAAAAAATATCCGGCAGAAAATAAAGTTCAAGGGAATTAATTTATTTACATTTTTGTATATTTAGTTTTTAAATTTTAAACTAAAATTTAAAAGATAAATTAACTAAAAAACTAAAAAAATTAAAAAAAGTAAATGTAAATAAATCTTACCTTGTTCTTTATTTTTTTAGAAACAAAAAAAAAAAAAAACAAAAATAAATATGGCGTTTAAAGTGACGTTATCAATAAAATAATATTGAGCATGCTCAATCCGAGTGATTTTTGTTGTTTGTACGTACAAAAAATTCTGGTAGGGATTTCGAACGTGGGAGCCGGGGGGTGGGTTGGGGGGCGGAACAACGTACAAAAACATTTAAATTTTAATTTAGTTTAGTTACATGTCGGACTTTGTTTCGATTTCAACTATGTTCGGATAGTAACGACAAATATCGGACCTGATTTTCTTCTTTTTTTTTTCTTTTTTTTTTTCTCTCTCTCTATCTCCCTCTCGTCTTTCTATTTTGTTTTTATTCGTATCCAAGGTGAGTGTTTGCGTGCACGTATATTTTTTTTTTTTTTACTTCCAGTTTTTCAAACGGGGAAGGGGGTGTGTAACCACGTGGTTTATCTCGTAAACATTCTTTTTTTTTATACGGGATTTAAATCGAATTTTAAATCCGGTCATGTTACAAAAGTTTTCTTTTTTTTTTTATATTTGTCTCGGGGGGGGAGAGGAGGAGAATAATTAAATTTTCGCGCCATCGGTTATTGTTAATGTCTCCTTCGATGATAATGATGTTAGATTTAAAGAGGTCAATTAAAGATTTTCTGCCGATTACAATCCAACGTTCAACAAGTGTCCGATTATTAATCAGGAGGAAAATCATTCTAGATATAAGTTATAATGTAATCGTGATATGCATCCGTTCGTTAGAATGGCCATCTTTTTTTTTTTTTTTTTTTTATGTTATCCCAAGGTTGTATTGTGTAATCCGCACACACGCCTACAGTGGTACCCCCGCACGTCGTGCACAAATTTTTTTTTTTTTTAACATTCGTAACCCGAAAACAAAACAAAACTGGGATTTATATAATTTACGACGTTTTTAAAAACAAACAAACAAACAAATCACTCATTTACGTAATTTTATTTTTGTTTTTTGTTTTTCCGAAACGATTATTATTATTATTAAAAGTGTATTTAATGCGAGAGAATATTTGTTGGCATGCGGAAACATAATAATTATCAAATTTTTTTTTTTTTTTTTTCTAAAAGTATTTGTATTATCAATTTATTACGTCATCAAAACTGTTTTTAAATTTAAGGTGTCGGTTTAATAAAATTGTTGTCGTTGTTGTTGTTGTTGGGTTTAATGACGATGTAGTAGTATCATATTATTATTAATACATTAAATAAATAAATAAGAACCGATTTATTGTCGCATATACATATATTTGAAAATTTATTTTGTTTCTGATAAGGGACCTGACTCAATTCGTCACATTGATAAAATGTTTTTGTCTTACAAACAAACACGAGTGCAAAATACGACCTAATATCTAGTTAAGAAGTGGAAGTTTTTGGTTTTTTTTTTTTTTATTAGTTATTTTTTAGGGGGGGAGGAAGGTTGTATGACGATTTGTCATCATGAATTTTTCCTGTGACCAACGACTACCATCAAATTTTTTTTTTTTTTTTTTTTTACGTTTATTTGGAAAAACAAAAAAATTTTGATGTGTTCATTGTTTCGTTATTTTTCGCATTACATCATCCTCTTCTATCGTTAATTATTAAATTCCTTTGTCCGAACAAAGGAAATTAATAAGTATGAAAAGATGATGATGATGATGATAGATTTAATCTTTTTTTTTTCTCTCTCTCTCTCTCTCTTCACCTGTTGTAAATTTTATCTTTTTTTTTTCTAGCTTATCTAAATAATTTAATTATTATTATTATTATTATTATTATTATTATTATTATATCGAAATTTATGAAATTCTATTTATTATCTTAATGAAGAGATAGGAAACAATAAGTATTCTGATTACACGATTAGTGTCCTTTTTCGACGACATTCGGTTGCTTACAATTAGCATTGATTGCAAATTAAAATTTTTTTTTTTTTTTTTTTGGGAAGGTGAAGAAGGAGTCAACCTGAAGATTGACCTTTGGTGACATCATCATTATCTATCCGATTGTAAAAATTTAAAATTTGGAAAAAAAAACGCGCGCGTTTAAAATTATTTAATTATTAAAGTCATCAAGTTTTTTTTTTTTTTTTTTTTTTTTAATTAAAAAATTTGTTTCGTTTTTTTCAGATCGAATTATGAACGATGAAGGTGTTGTCTTTTATGAAAATAATCTTAACATAGTTCAAACATCGAAAAAATCAATATGGTTCACGTAAGTTTTACAAAACAAAAAGTTATAGAGAGGGGGGGGCGAGCCAATGGGGGTCAGGCATTTTTACAAAAAAAGTTGTAAAAAATTTTTTTATTGTCGTCTTACAGGAAGGTTCACGTGGTGATAACTTCTGTGAAATTATTTGTTCAACTAACGGCTTCCTTCGTGGTAGCAGGTTACGATGGATTGATACCAAAACAAAAAAGGCTCGTTAAAAAATTAAAGGAAACATTTGTTTTTGCCGTTTTTTCAAAATTTTCATTTTTTTCACTGACGAGTAAGTTTTTATTTGTTTTGCTTCGGTGTAATTAAAATTAACGCCGAAAAAGAGGTAAAAAAAAAAAAAACCTAAAATACCTAAAAAACCTAAAATTTAAATTGATTAATCATACAGGCGCGTGATTACAAAAAAGCGACACCTCAAGGTTTTATAAAAAAAAAATAATAATAATAACACTTGAAATTTTTAACAAAAAAAAAATAATCGTACAGACGACATATTGTTTATTTGTTATTACAGCGATACCACATCAAAGCATAAAATTCGATTTATTATATCAGAGAATTACAAAACCGATAATCAGTTACAAACCGGGCACAAAATGGTTTCCAAAAAAAATTTACAATGGAGAATCCGTTGGGGAGACATTAAATCCAGAATTAAGCGTTCACATAGACATACTTCACGATCCTTCGCCGAATCCCATCGTTGCGGATGTCATATTCATACACGGCCTTCACGGTTCACTTTACAACACTTGGAAACAAGGGGTTTGGAGTTATAGGAAACAAGTTCAAAATCATCCGCTGAAACACAAGTACAAATTGAAAATTAATTCGGATCCGAAAAAGGACAAACATTGTCCGGATAAAAGGAATAAATGTGAAAAAAGGAGGAAAAGTTTTTACAAACAAAATCACTGCGATAATGAATACGATCAACTTTTGGAAAACATAACGGATTTGTTGAACGGAATCGACGATACCCTAAAGGTTGCAGATCGGGAAATTGACGATAAAATAGAACCTTATTCGCCATGTTGGCCCAAAGATTGGATACCCAAAGATTGTCCCGGAGTTCGAGTCATTGCTGTTAATTACACAACGGATCCATTTTTATGGAGGCCCGTTTGGGTAGCCAAGAGAAACAGGTTTCTGCCAACGGTTATTTTTTATTAATCATTCCTTTTGAAAACATAAACAAATTTTTAAATTATTATTATTATTATTTTTAGATCGTGTTTACCGCAAAGAAGTCAAGAAATGGTAGATTTACTCATTAGAGAAGGCGTTGGAAATAATCCTATTGTTTGGGTAGGACATTCAAAAGGGGGTCTTTACGTGAAGCAAATGCTAGTTGATGGTACGTGCGTTTCATGCGATATTCAACCGCCCTCCCCCCCCTCCTAAAAAAAAAAAAGTAATAATTTTTTTTTCCTTTTTTTTTTAAGCAAAGCACAGTGACGACATTCAACTCAACAGATTATTAAATCAAACCAAAGGTATAATGTTTTATAGCGTGCCTCATAGGGGATCCCCACTCGCCAGTTGGAACGTGCCATTATTAAGAAAATCTGTTGAATTGACCGAAGTTAAAAAAGGTTATTTATTTTACTTTTGTTTTTGTTTATTTAAACGAATCATAAAATTTTTTTTTTTTGTTTTTCAGATTGTTCAAACGTTTTAGAACTTCATAAGAAATTTTTAAAATTATTCGAAGATCAATGCGTTAAAGCGGAAGTTTTCAGTTTTGTCGAAACCGTATTAACATTTATGTTTGTAACAAACGTGAGAGTCGTTTCCGTGGATTCAGCAGGTTTAAAAAAAAAAAAAAAAATTATTAAATAAAATTTTTGAATCTTGTAACAAAAAAAAAAATCAAAAATTTTTTTGCATGAATAATTTCAGATCTTGGTTTTGGATCTTTTAGAGGAGTTAACATTGATCACAGAGAAATTTGTAAACCTTTGAATAGGTAAATAGGTAAAAAAAAAAAAAAAACAACAAAACTTTTTTAAAATTATGCTAAAGTAACTCTTTAACTATAAATTTTCAGGGATTGTTTCTTGTACAAAGAATTAATCAGCCTCATAAGACGAGTGATTAATAATTTTCCTCCTCGAACTCCTGACGGACTCCTTCAATGCTAGCCTACTATCATGTGAATGATAATAATAATAATAATTTATGTGGATTTATCGGGAGACGTGGAAGAAGAAAACAAAACGCAGAATACTGAATGAAATATCTTTTCGTATTTTTTTTATTTTTAAATTCATTTAAAAATTTTACATATCACGAAAAAGACTGGAAATGAAGCTTTATCAATAACAATAAGTTTGATTAGAATTTTTTTAACCTGCAAAAATTTTAAAATTTTTTTGGTTTTTGCTGGCATTAACCAAGAGGGGGGGGGTGGGGCAGAAGAAGAAGAAGAAGGAGGAAGAGAAAGAGGAGGAGGAGGTGAAAGAAGAAGAGGAAAAAAAAAAATTAATAAATTTGTTACCATAATATTATAATATATAATTTAAAAAAAAAAAAAAAATTTTTGCGGGCAATCGTTTAATGTGATTATAGATAATAATAATAATAATGATTAGGAATAAAACAAATGTTATTTGTTAACAAAAAAAAAAAAAAAAAAATTGTTTATATATATATATATTTTTTAAACGGAAAAAAAAAAAAAAAATTTTTTTTAAAGTTGATTATAATAATAAATTTTATTCTTTTACAAAATCAAAAAAAAAAAAATTATTTATTTATTTTATTATTAATTATTAACTTGAATTATTATTATTAACTATTAATTAATTAATTTATTTATTTATTTTTAATTTTCATGTATGCCCATTTGAAAAGGTTCGGCGCAGTAAAGTAAATTTGTACGTAAACCCCACCCCGACGTTATCGATCAGATTCATTCGTTCGGTCGGTTCGTATTTACAAATTATATTAATATATATATATATATATATATTATAACGAATTTGTTTTGTGTGTCGTTTTAATTATTAATAATAATAATATATACGAATGATGAGAATAGGTAGTAGTATTATAGGAATGATGAGAAAATAAATGAATTTATAATAATATTAAAACCGGTTACGCAATGGCATCTACAACAAGCGGATCTGGTATAGAAACTTGTGGAAAATCACCGGCAAATGGTCCACCGCCACAGACTCCAATATTGACGGTCGCGTGCAGAATGTTAAGATCACCAAGTCACGAATCGGTAACAACTGATTTATCCCTATTTTCGGTGTCTTCTTTGGCATCAGAAACTCCAGGTGGTACCGGAAATAGAATGAGGTTGGTTTCGTTTAAATCTTACAGCGATGCACATTTGACGGCAAGGGGGCCGAGTCCAAATCCGACTCATAAAGTATCAAGGTAATGTTGTTTCACTCAATTAATTTATCATAATTTTGTGAAATTTTAATGGAAGTCACACACGCACACACACACACACACACAATTATTTACAATCTAAAAGAAAAAAAATTACTGTAGTTATGAAAATGTTTTTTGCATAAATTACATCATCAATGATTTAAGAAAGATAAAAAAAAAAAAAAACAAAACAAGTTTATATTTTCTAGAAGGTTCTAAATATGGGTTTTTTATTTTACAGGCCACCGGATATACCTGAAATATTATGGTTCGAAGAAGAAAACGATTTAATTAAAAGTTGTGCTGCTTTAGCAACGGCTCTCGGTTTTCAAAAAAGTTTTAGTACTTCTGATATTAGTAATTTGCCCTCACCTGATGAGACTGCAACACACCCGCCTAGATGTGCCGTTTCTGATTTAGCACTAAGTGCTCTTCAAAGGTTTACTATTATCATCATTATTAATTGTTACTACTTTTAAACGTTATTTGAAATTATTATTATTATTATTATTGCTTTCTTTTAGGTCGGGATATTTTTTAGATTATTCGAGATTAGATCACGCATCGAGATCTTGTTCAACTTGGGTAGCCGTTGGAGATGTGGCATCAACATCTCAACTACCATCTCCTCATGGTGGTCACTCCATGCCTCCAGCACCGACTTCAACTCCTACTCCACCCGTTTTTACAGCCGCTGATTTAATTCGATCGGTTAATAAAAAAGTCAGTAATTTTTTACAATGGTTCTCGACTTGTGAAATTTGTAAATAATTATTATTGATCCATTGCCTTTGACATTTTTTATTTTGAATTTAAACTCATTCAAATTTACAAAAATTATCATTAATTTAAATGAAATATTATAATATCGTGCATAAAATCGTTTAAATGAAACTTTCTTTTCTCTTTCTAATGTTACTCGACAATAATAATTTAACAAACTCAACTTGCAATTATTTGAGGTACGTTGATAATTGTTTTTATTTATTTCAGGTACGCCAAAATTACATTAAAAGAAGATTATTGACAACTTACAAAGCTTTAGAAAGACTTTCAAAAAGCGAATTTAATTTAGATCAACTCGAAATACAAGCCGGATCAGAAATTGAGCAACAGAATACAATAATAACTAGTAATAATCATTTAAAAGTACCTGGAATACCTTCTGCGACGAAACCGATAATATCACCAGGTTCCGTTATTAAAGTTGTTAAAGCTGAAAATCCTAGAAATAAAAATTTTCCGGTAACACTTCGTGACGTCGAACGCGATAGGGGGAAACCTTTGTCGAAATATGAAAGAAATATGATGATTTTCAATTGGCTACACACTCTTGATGACACGTCGTACGAGGGATTACAGTAAACAAATTCCCGCCTTTTTTTTGTTGTTTGTTTATTTTCTTTATGATTTTTTTTTTTAATACCTATTTTTAATGGTGATCAATGTGATATATATATTCGTTATTGACATAATCTCTCGACAAAAAATTTATTTTTCGGTATTTTATTTTAAAACGAAGTACTAATTACTTAAAAAAGAGAAAAAAAAAAAAGTTTCAAAATACGGTTTTTTTGCTCAATTTATCAGGAGGATATTTTGTACAAAATAAGTATATTTACATTTCTTATAAAATTAATACCCCCCCCCCACTTCAGATTTTTTAGCTTTTATATAACTTTTTTTGTTGCAATTTGAGATTATTTTACTTAATTAATTTTTTAATAAGTTGTTTTCTAAACAAAATATGTATTAAATTTTCGTTGCTTAATAAATTAAAACTATTTAAATAAAAAAAAATTACTGAAAAGTAAATATCAAACCGTCTTCATTTTTTTTTTTTGTTAATAATATTTAGATTAATAAATTGAAAATTATTTTATTTAACTCAACTAAACATATAATAACATATGAAACATGTGAAAATAAATGTAGATTAATTTAAAAAAAAAAAAAAAAAGTTTAAATTTATAAATATTTATTAAATGATTCATTTCAAAGTATCGAATGTTTGACAATTTTTAATAAAACTTTTTTTTTATTACTTTCTGTTAAATTAAAAGAAGAAAAATTGTTTTTAAATGTGTAAAAATGTTTTATAATGAAAGTATTACATTTTTAATAAGAAAAATAATATGAATTGATTGTGAAATTATATCGAGTGACTCGTTACATACTCGTGGAATGAATGACTGTTGAATGAAATTAGTTTTTGAAAAAAATGTGTTGAAGAAAATATCACTTATTTAAAAAGTGAATGTTATACATATATATACATACATATACATTATTTTATTCGTTTGTTAAAAGTTTACAAAAAAAGAAATTTTTAATTCTTATTGTAAGTTTTTAATTGCCAAACATTTTACTAAAAATTCTTTTTATTCTTATTTAAAACATTTTATTTTAATAAAAATTTGGCAATCGTTGGTTGTGCAAAAAAATATGTTAATTGTAAATTTAAATATTTTATTTGTTACTTACATGTATGTGCCTTTTTCTTTCAAGCCATTGAAATTGTTTTTTTTTCAATTAAGTTTATGTAATTATTAATTACAATTAATTAAAATAAATTAAATTATTAATAATTTTTGTCGAAAGCTTTCGGGTTAATGCCTGAAAACTTATCTTTTATATGTAATGAATTTTTAAAAAACTTTATTTATAAATCGTTTATTAAATCTACAAATAATAATAATGGTAATTATTGATTCATTTTATTTTTCATTTTTTTTTTTTTGCAAAAAATTGGAAGCGAATTAAAATTTTATTTTTGTTTCAATGTAATTAAAGTCATATAAATAAAGTATTTTTATTAAAAATCATTTTTTATTAATTTGTATAATGATAATTGATCAGGTATTATTTAAACATAAAACCCTTGTTTGTTTTTTTCTTTTTCAATTTCTTTTATAATACATTATTTGGATTTTAATTGTGAGAGTACATGAATTACAAAAAAATTAAATGATAAAATTCTTAAATAAAGAATTACATTTTAATAATATAACTTAGAAATTATATATATATATTGTTTAAAAATTATTGAAATGATTTTCTTATGATTAATTTATTGATTTTTATTATATAATTACTGATAACAACTGAAACACACTTACACCTGAAAACAGAGTTTTATCGGAAAATGTTTTTTATTCGAGTTTTTAATTTAGGCGACAAAATCTAATGGTCTGTTGAAACCACCTTTTCTATTCATGTACTGTCTATATTTTCTTTTTAAAATGACATGAACACTACCAGCATCATTCCCTGCAACTTTTTTACCTTTAGTCGAATCAAAACTACAAAATCCCATCATTTTCATCATTTCTTGCTCATCTTCAGTTTTTCCTTGAAGATCTGCTTCTGATATAACTGGCCTTTCATTGACTGCAATTTTAGCTTTATTCTTCAACCTCTCTCTTTCACGATCTCTTTCTCTTTCTCTATCTCTTTCTCTGTCCCTATCTCTATCTCTGTCTCTGTCTCTATCTCTATCCCTGTCCCTATCTCTATCTCTTTCTCTGTCCCTAGAATTTGATCGAGATCTAGACCAAGATTTACTTCTGCTTCTTCCTCTGTATCGATGTGAATCTCTTTCCAATGATCTTCTTCTTCTCCTATCTCTAGATCTCCGTCTTCGTCTATCCCTTTCTCTATCCCGTTCACGTTCACGTTCTCTTTCCCTTGATTTACTTCTCCGCCACCTGGCAGGAGAAGGAGATCTACTGTGAGCCATATAATTAGTTTAATTTATTTTATAAATTTTATACATGGAAGAAATATTTTTTTAAATATGATTTACAAGAACTTATTTAATAGTCGGCATTAGAACAGTTAGAGGTTATAAACAATTTTTATAAAATGGCGACTTATAAGGTTTGCCGTCCTGTGTCGGAAAAATTTTAATCCAATGCAAGGCATGCGCAGTTTAAAATTCAAACGTGAAAAGTTGCTTAGGATTTAAGTGAATGAAAATTTTTCCTTTGTTATTTGTTTAAACGTAACTGGTGAGTTTTTATATTTTATATTTTTCTAAAAACAATATCTGAAACGAAACTATTTTTTAAAATTCATGCTAAGCTTAAATTCTGTACAGCATTTTATAAGCAGATTTGTCGGCGTTAATACAAAGTCCAGGGGTGTGTCACTTTGTAGATATTGTCACCTCTAAGTTTTCTTTATGTAATCTCTTTTAATTATATTAATATAAAGTAAAATTTTAATATCTGAATTAACATCTTCGAACATTTCGTAAAAAGTATTGATCTTTGTAATGGCATATAATGTAACCGTTTTTAGTCACAAGAGACGCCATTTTTTTTAGATTATGTCTTACTATTTTTTTCAATACCTATAAATTATTGATTATTTATTTCATAGATTCTAGCGATTCGAGTTTAATGCATTTAATTATATTTGAAATTTAATTTAAAATGTCTGATATAATTTATTTTATAATTAAATGTAAAATTAAATTGAAATTTGGGTTTGCATCGGGGTTTGTCGGTAGCTTTCGCTTGAATCCGACTGTCAGTGTTCCATTTCTATTCTTTAGTCATTGAGAATTGTATGCAGAAGCGGAATGGTTGATAATTAATTTTTATTTTTTCAAATTAATTCAAAATTCAGTTATTATTTGACCAATTATTTCCGTTGAATATAAAATTTATATTCGCGAGTTATATTTTATATAAATTTTATTTTCCAAAATTATAGTGAAAATCTTCTTATATAATTATCGTTGTGAAAAAAGTGACCGTTTTTTTTTTTTTCTCTCTCTTTTTGGCTCCCGGAAACAAGATGGTTGGTGTTTAAGTACTGTTGGCTTAAACGATTTTTTTTTTTTTCTCCTTAATAACATATTACTTTTATTTTAAATGATTTAACGTGGTTTCCATTAATAATTTTCGTGGTTTTATTAATATATTTTTTTTCTAAAAGTTGTAATTTAAAGTGGTTACTTTTTAATTAAAAGTAGTTTAACTCGAAAATTGGGAATTTTACATCAGATTCCACAAATTTTATTGTATGTAAAAATTAATTATTAAACAAAAGAAGTGGTTATTGAATTATTAATTAATGAAAGTTTATGTTCACATTTTTATATTATTTCATATTAAGTGCTCTTATATAGAGATATCTTTTGGAAAAAGATAAGTTGACCCTAAAATAGGTAATTATTTTTGATTTACTAAATTATTTATTTAATTTTTTTATGTTACGATAAAAGTTCCAAAGTAGTGAATTCATTTTTTTCGAATTGAAGCTTATTAAATAATTTAACATTCAATTTACAATCTATTAAAGTTTTTGTACTGCTCAATAGTATGTACCTAGAATAAAGTTTGAATTAATGAAATTAGCCATTATTAAATTTATACATTACGAATAAAAACAGATAAGCTCTGTGAATTTTGACCTGATGTCATATACGAAAATATCCAAGCTTTTAAATGATAGCAAAAGATTTTGTTTAAAATTAAAAATTTTATTTTATTATCACTAATAAAAGTTTTGTCGAGCTATACATTTCATTAATTCAAACTTTATAGAAATAAATTAGAGAATTGAAATTTTTTTTTTTTTTGTACATTGATGGTGGTGTTTAACTTATCGGAAATATTTTAATGGATTTATCAGTTCATCCTCGTTCAATTAAATATAATTTAAAGTAATTGCGCTTGATTTCTTTTTTTTTTGAAACAATCTTACTAGTTGTTGGTTTATAATCTATATATTTAAATCTTATAAGGTGAATTTGATGATTACAAAAGAAAGAAAGAAAAAAAAAAAAAAATCAAGAAAATCAAGTATTCATTTTTTAACATTCTCATTATTATTATTATTCGAACATAAAAAAAAAAAAAAACTGCTTATAAAATCTTATATATGTATTGTCATATGGTTATTTTTATTCTTGGTTTTTCTATTTATAGTCTGACTTTTCCATATTATTACTTGTTTACCGGTTTATTGACCATTTTATTAAAACGGTTACAAAAATATTATAAAGAAAAAATATTTATTTTAAGGTGTAAAAATCCGTTAGGTGTGCAAGTTTCATAATAGACTTGTTCGCGAAGCTTACTTCATATATATATATAAATATTGTTGAGTTGGAAATGATTTCTGATATCGATTTTTATTGTTTTAAAAAGTAGACCATGTCTACCTTGATTGTGCATTTACAAAAAAAAAAAAAGCAAGTGTTTTTGTTATGAAGTCTGAATCTAAAATTTTTTATTTCAATTATCAAAATATTAAATTCCTTGATTGTTAAAATGTAAAACCAAAAAAAGGGGGGAAAGGGAAAGGAAGGGAGGGGAGGGGAGTAAACCGTGAATAAATGTAATCATTTGTTAATAATAAGCCGTCTATCATATTTAATTATTTCAAAGGGAAAAATAATATTTATATTATAAATGAATGTCAGTATTTCACCTGTTCATTTTTATTTAAATTTATAGGAAAAGTTTTAAAAAAAAAAAAAGTGACTTGTATATAAATGACAATATAAACATTAGTCTAACCATTTCCGTTTTATATTTAAGTTGATTTTGACAAATTTTTTGTTTTCACTTAAATGTATTGAACGTATGTATTGATCATGTGAATGTTTTGGTTTAAAAAAAATACTTGTTGGCATTATGATTTGAATGAATGGTGGTGTGAGTTGTTGGTACATTAAGCGAATGAAGACCTTTGTTTAATGCCATGCACATAAATTTTTATGGGGATTTTTTATTTTTTCTGTGTTATCTAGTGAGATCACAAGGGCGCCGGGGTCCTGTCGCCCGGATGTCTGTCTTTGGTATCGATTTTACTGATCCCTACTACCACCACTTTGGGGAAAATAACATTCGTCAACCGCCTCACTGTTCTTAGACACGTTTTTTTTTTCCTTCTTTCTTTATTTCGTGTATTTTCCACGTCGTAGGAATTGTTTCACTTGGCAACGGTCGTGTGTTACTGTCAGATTATAGGAAATTTTTATCATTATTTTGTTTATCACTTTTGAGTTTTTTATTTCGAGATGAGCATCAATGATTAAAAAATAGTAAACAAACGCAATAAAAATTTGTTTCAGATAATTTTTTTTTTTTCTAATCGTTAACCTAAAAAAAAAAAGGAATCAGAAATTTTAATGGGGGACTTATAAGTGTTGCTCTCTATTTTTAAAAATTCATTTTAATTTTCCATCATAAATTGACGTTGATGTTTGTAGTCATCGTACTTGTTCTGTAAATGATAAGAAGTGATTGAAAATATGGCAGTAGGGAAAATTAAAAAAAAAAAAAAAAAACTCGCGGAGAAAATACGGTTTATTTTAAATTAAGAACTGTGAGAAAATAATTTGTAATTGAATATTGTTAGTCACTGTGTTTTTTTTTTTTTTTTCATATAAATAAAAAAAAAATGAACAAAGTAGCGGGCGTATTTCCCTACCCCCAATTTAAATGTTAAAAAAAAAAAAAAAAATTTATTTGCTTTTTTTTTTTTTTTTTTTTTTTTTTTTGTACCCCCCCACCCCCAAATACCGTTAAATTTTTTTTTTTATTTTAAAGTAGTATTCCCGTTGGGAACAATTCCTCCAGTCGTAATTCCAACATGAACCTCCCGAAAAAATTATCTTGATTGAAGTTAATTGGTTATTGAGGTCATAGAATCACTCGACTGTCACTCCAACCGTTTTTTTTTCTTTTTTTCTCCCCATTACAACTTGACTATTATTGCTTTGTTAAAATGGTGGTGGAGTTTAAAAAAAAAAACTATTTTTTGACAATTATTTTAGGGGGGAAAAAAAAAATAAGAGGAATAATATACAACATAAATAAATAAAGCGATTTGTGAATGTGTTTTGTTTTTGTTTGTTTTTGTTTTATGGTTGCAGTTTACAGAATCATTCCTTGCGAAGGATTACGAAATGAATTTTGTAATAATTTGAAAACAAATGATGATTAGGTTTTTGAATGGTCTACAACGATAATAATAATAATAATAATAACATGTCATTTTTCATTAACCTGCCAAAAGTCAAAAATAGTTAATTATTAATTTCATTCACTTTGATCTTCTTCTTTAGTCGATGATAGTTTAGTCGCTTAGTTTTCATTTATAATTATTTTCAGTTGCAATTTATGAGAGAAAAATGTTTTTTTTTAAAAATACAACAAGGAAAGATTTTAAAGTTTTCAGTCCAAAAAAAAAAAAAACATTTAATTGCTTTTTTGTTTTGCGAGAGGAAAAGAGAGAGAGAGAGAGAGTAAAAACGTTGGATTGGATTTGAATATTCAATACACACACACACACACCGCTCATTTGATTTCCCTCATTTTTTTTTCTTTTTGTTCTCCCTGTGAAAATTAATTGAAATTACAATTAGTTGGGGAGACGACAAAAGTCATCGGAGTCGTTTAACTACTTTATTATTACGTTTAACAAAAATACTTATTTATTTATTTTTATAATGTTAAAATCTGAAAAGATGATGATGATGATGATATATACATTTTAGAAAAGTCTGTTGTTGTTGTTTTTTTTTTGCAGCCATGATCGAGTTCTAATTTAATACTTCCGCGTTATGTGAGTTTTTTTTTTTTTTTTTTTTTTTTTTTTTACATTTATTTATATGGGATTCCCAGTTAGAATCGTTCGGGAAAAAAAAAGGGGAACGAAGGGGGTAGCCATAATTATTCCAATTATTTAAATTGAGGGGAAAACACGAGGTTTCAAGTAGGTCAGTGAGTGAGTACGTGTCGTGTCCTTGTGAATTCTCATTTTATGATTTACACACACACAAATTTATAAATAAGTTCTATATATAAACGGTATTTAATCGATTTATGGAAATTTTAAAAAAAAAAAAAAAAAAAAAAAAAAAAAAGTAATTTGGGATGATGATGAATATTTAATGTAACGGTTTCTATCAATTAAAATTCGAGTGCATATATTTAATAAATTTTTTTGAAAAAAATTTGCAAAATAAACATTTTTTTGTTTCGCCCTCCCCCTCCCCACTCCCCCCATGTTTTGAATACGTCATGAGACGATAGAAAATGTTTATAATTCGATTGGTAAACTGGTTTAGGAAATTAATAACAAAAAATTTTGTTTTTAAAGTTTTTTTTTTTTTTTTGTAAACGAACCTTAATTGAACTCAAAGTACTGTTATACATTCTCGTAAATTTTGCAAGTTTATTACAGTAAATGGGAAGCCTGAATGCGTGTGTGCGTGTGTGCGTGCGTGTGAATACTTTGTTCGGCTTTAGTTGCTGCCATATTGTAGTAAACCATGTACGACTTTAAATTCGGAAC